CTGAGGTGGTGAAAACTAATATTTAATTTTCAGGACAATACAGCAGATGATGATGTCAATATAATGTGAATAACTGTGATGTGAATTACTGTCTGCGCATGCGTAACCATTTCCCTTTTCAGGATTTATGATATAGTTTGGAAACAGCTTTATTAAAGGTTTCAAGTGACTTGTTGATGGCAGATCATTTAAGGAAGATTTCAAAGCTGGGATGTTTTGTGTCACAGAAAGAACTAGAGATGGTTGTTCTGTTTTATTGTTTTTAATGATTTTTAATTATATTTTTTGCTTTCTGTGGGGCGCTTTGTGATGTTTGTGTCTGTGAAGGGGGCTATAGAAATGAAATTTAATTACTAACTTGCTTACTTAGTTACGTGTTAGGCCTGAAGGTGGCAGCAGAGAGATACATTGTGGTTAATTGAAATGATGATGTGTGGCTGTTGTATTGTTATTGTTGTAATGATTATAAGATGTTTAGATGAATGTCTGGGAGGTATCACATTGAAATTGTAGATTCGTTGGTTAATTGACACCACTAAGGGGGTCTGTGGAGATAGTCTAGCAGATTTTCCTAAGTGGTTGGTAAATATGGTGAGTATGGAATTATAAAATAGCTTTATTGCTGACACGAACACTGACACTACTGGGTCAGTTACAAAGGCTGTTAAAAGTCTTAGGAAATTGTCTGTGAAGATGGTTTATTAACGTTTTCGGAGGTTGTAATAATGTGATGTCTACCGTGGTAAGGCATTTAGTCATGGTGGTKATAATACTGGGTTTTTGTTGTTTTTGTGGCATTCCTGTGGCTAGGATATTATGTGTAAAGGCCATCTCACAGACTGTACAGAATACCTTTAATCAACATCGAAATATCGAATATCAAATGGTACAGACATCTGACGCCAGCCCAACGCCTCAACTTGCATATCTCTACGGTGAAGATGATTAATGTGTGAAATCTCCACGAAGGCCCTGGTAATGATGATTCTAGCTGACATATTTGAATAGAAAGTCAATACTGACATAGTTACAATCACTTAGTCGGACATGAAAATATAGTTTAGGGTGTTGAGATGAGATGTCGTCAATAAAATGTTTTCTGATTTCCATTTGTTTTTCATTATTAAGTCTGTTTAGGGAAGTCACACTAAGCAGGTATGATTTGTTATGCTTAAAAATTATTAATGAACTGGTTGTTGGTTTTTATTTTTTAATTTTTTGATATTTTCATATTGTAATAAGTTGCAGGTTATTAACCAGGTCAGTTTGATGCTGAGGACGAGATGGAACAGTGCTGAGAACTGTTTCCAATGGCGAGCTATGTGCTAGAAACCTCTGGCTCCGACTTATGATTATTATCATAATAATAACTGACCTGGTTGACATTTTTATATTTTTATATTTTGATTGGGGTGGGATAAATGAATGATATTACTAAATTTCAGGACTGGGATGTTAGAAATTTTCCACGTTGTGCTGTATCGCTTAGAGTAAGTTACATACACATTTGTGCCTTAGTGCGAACATATAGATTATAAATTTCTTATTTTATTTCACATGTTTGAACATGTGAAAAGGGGGATTGAAGAAATTTATAGTTAGGGCTTAGTACTGAGTACATACAACACCAGAGTATTAGGGTTTCCTATTTTATAATACCTTTATAATGTTTGTTATATTTCTTACAATGTGTTAATTGAAATAGGGTAGATACATGTCCGAATAATTAACAACACATAATTAAAGCCGTGTTAACATTAGATTGAGGGTTGTTTGTATGAATGCCTGTGATTCAGCTGTAGGCCAGCAGGRGGCGAACTCAGGCATTGAAGATCCTGTATATATACTGGTCCAGTTCCTGTTTCACCCCCAGTGTGGTTTCGGCTGTCATTCTGGTGGCAATAAACCTCACTCCGGAATTCTGGTGTTTTATGGCATTTATTTCTTATCACAGATCATTTTATTTAACACTGGTGTTTTCATCTGACTTCAGCCGTTATTGAACACGTATTTTCTTACAGCAGGATAGATTTTTTTCACAGGGTTGCGTCGGGTGGGGTCAGAGGAGAATTTAATTTTTCTTTGTTAAAAGCAGAACTTTGTCTTCTCATTTCTGTGCTCAATAAGATCAAGACCAGCTGCTCGTCAAAGCTGTGCATCGTGCTAGCTTAACAAACACCTTCTGTGAACGGAGTTCTGACCAGTCACATTTATATACAGTACAGCCAGTTCTGCAAGTGTCATTAAAATACATTCAGTAATTCATGAGATATTTTGCTAACAAGAAACAGACAAACACAGCCACGAGAAGGAAAAACACGATCACTCCCAAAACGGCCTCACAGCGTGACACTAACAAATCCTTGTTCCTAGAAAAGTCGACCTGGAGGGAAACGGATGACTTGCTGCAGTCGGACAAAGTTTTTATTCTCCCTCAGCTTTTAGTTGAAGTTGAACTGACTGAAAACGATTCATATTTGATTTTTATAACATTTGAAAAACAAGTGTTTTACATGGATACATTAGAAAGATGCACAGGTGAAGACTTTTCTGTTTTTCATTCACCTGCAGTTTATGTTGCTTCATTATGGTTTAACACACAGCAGCCGTTGGGTCAGTGGAAAAGTACATTTGAAGACGAGCCTTTATCTTTGTTTTTTTTTTTCTTCTCTGTTCACTAAACTTCTAATCTAATTTTTTTGTCTGTGTCATTTCAGAGTGAAGTTGTCAGTTTGATGCAGTCATGTGGTAAAACCCAGAGACAGATTGAAACCTGGTTCAGACTCCGCAGGAACCAGGACCGACCCTGTCAAACCAAGAAGTTTGCTGAAGCTGCGTGAGGGTTTATTTCTGAAGTTTTGCATGTATGTTTCACAATAAGAGTCTAATTAAACTCCTTTTTATTTGGTGATTTTTTTTTACAGTTGGAGGTTTTTTTTCTACCTCACAGCCTTTGTGGCTGGATTGACCTGTTTAATTGATGTGAGTATGCCTTAAAAAATGTTTTAAAACAAAGCACCTTAACGGGATCCATGATTAGTTGTAACATTGGACTTTAATACAGTTTTTCTCAGTTGCTAAAACACATTTCTTGAAACCATCCATCCATTTCTCTAATCTGTAAACACAAAACCCAATTTTCAAACTACTTTCACAGAACCTCTGACCCAGCAAAACCGAACTCTAGCTTCAAAATAGTTCAAACTTTTCTCAAAACTGAACAATGTTGTTGTAATGGAACTAATACTTTTATGTTTAAGTCAATAATTCATGACATCCTTTAATGACCTAGATTTTCATGACATGCTGTTCATCTGCAGATAGAATGATTAAAGTCAGAACAAGATTTATTGCAACAACAGGAAACACAGAGAACAACCTGCCCTGTCTCTGTGCCTCTGTGCCTCGATACAAGGTCAATGGAAAACACGAAGATAAACACAAGTGATATCTAATGGTGCGTTCACACTGAACGCGATTTCAGCRTCAGGAGCAGCAGGTTTACATGCAAAGTCTATGGTGGACGCGCTTCAATCAGCGTCAGGAAGTGCTGCGGCGCCTCAAGCGCGATTAGAGCAGCG